GTGTGTGTGTGTGTGTGTGTGTGTGTGTGTGTGTGTGTGTGTGTGTGTGTGTGTCGTGTGTGTGTGTGTGTGTGTGTGTGTGTGTGTGTGTGTGTGTGTGTGTGTGTGTGTGTGTGTGTGTGTGCCTTGTATAAGACAAGAATATGAAAAGCGCTGCGGGGTTAAGGTATGAAGTGCTGCAAATAATAGAAAACGTGGAAATAGATCGACAGAGTTAACACGATGGGCTTGAAACGTGGTCCGGAAAGGAGGAAAGGGAAGAAAGTGCAAGAACGAGGGAATGTCAGAGAAAGGAGAAAGAGGGGAAGCGAGAGCGGGATGGATAGAGGGGGGTGGAAAGAAAGGCAGACAGACAGAGGCAGACAGACCGAGAGTGAGAGTGAGAGAGAGAAAAAGAGAGAGAGAGAGAGAGAGAGAGAGAGAGAGAGAGAGAGAGAGAGAGTGAGAGCAAGCAAGAAAGAAAAGACAGGTCGATGCACACGGGACAAAGTTGTTCCTTCCCTCTCCGTTTTAAGTGTACGCGTATACCCGCGTATGCCCGGCTTTACTGTGTGGCGACTGACAGCTATATATGTCTGGTCGATGGCGGTTAACATTTTGATATTTGTTCTTATAGGGCACCTGAACGTCAAATAAAACAAAAGTAAATATATTTTGCGTTAAAATTCGTGATACGCTCATGCATCGAACGGCCTTCGTTACTATACGTAGATTGGTCCCAACATGGTCGAGTAATACAATCTATATCCATCGGATGGACGATGAATCATGCATTGATTCAGTCTAGTGGTAGCAACAGTAGTGCATGATAGAATGCGTAGTTAGCAGCCTCATAAATGAAGACTATAGCGCAGGTTTCGCGAATATAGGAGAGAATCGGTTGACGAGAATCTTAATTAAGGACTGTAACAGACGCAACTCCATCTCAATTACGGAGGTCTGCTGTCAGACAGAATAATGGTAGTACGATGTGAAGAAGAGTAAGCTAATGGCGAAAAGTTCTAACATTAATTTGCGCACAGCTTAAATAATTAAACAGCGATATAACGCGCTACACACTCCCTAGCAACACCTCCAAACTAGCTCTGCCAAACACGTCTGCTGTGCTCTACCGAGCCGTGTATTGATTGAGAGAGACCCCTCGCAACGCAGCGACTGCAGCAGATTGCAACTGTTGATGGCATCCGACTAGACTGATTCCAAACTCCAAAGGTCCTCGTGGCTGAACCCAACAGCTCCACAGACTCGAACAGTATTATTGTGGTACAGCAATGGTCAGCGATATGGACTGATTCGCGTCGATTGGAAATTGTTGGGCATACATACAAGCGACTGCTATTCAGCTAAATATGAATCCACCAGACAGAACACGTAATTTGAAAGGGAGGCAAGGACGACATAATATTGCGTCACAAAAATAATTATAACAATGTCTTCGTGATCGCGTGACTACGCAACGAGCAGGGGGGGGGGGGGTCCATTAAGCATTCATTCCCTCAAAATCGTGTGCATACGATTATCAAATATTTATTTTTAGATGCGCAACACCTGCGCGGGATATGAGGTATACAGGCCTGTCTATAGGTGTCTACGTGACAGTCTAACCATGTCCATACGTACGCGTTAGTCTAAACTGTCCATAGAATATACCAGTGTTTAGCGATGAGCCAACCTACTGTCCACCTGGGGATCGGCCAGTCTCTCATTGCTAATTAACTAGTAAGATGCAGCTCTGCGTCGGAGTGTGTGCTGCTCAGTGAGGGAAAAGAGAGAGTCAATAGAAATTGCATCTTTATATCTGGACTAATATTTCTAATAAAATGGCTACTTATGTCATATTTTACATCTATTGCCAGACGAGCGGTACGGAACGATGTCACATATCCTAGAGGGTACCCTGGTGGTTGGGCAGATATCACATTATGTCACTCATACAGTCAGGGCCATAATATAACGACAGCGATATTTATACAGTGTAGTCTGACAATACCTTATTATAGTTCGCGTGTGACAGTTCACTCATAGCATGATACACATTACATATGCTGCCAGCTTTTCTGTGTGACAACCGCGTTAATACCGAACAGAAACAAAATGATCATCGGGATTTATTGATTTCTGGAAGAAGTAACAGCAGTCACAGCCAAAGAAAAAAGAGAGCGCGCCACGTGAGGTAGAGAAATAGAAAGAAAGAAAAAGTGGAGACGTGAGAGCATGAACAGGCGAATTGGTATCTGAAAGAGAGAGAGAGAGAGAGAGAGAGAGAGAGAGAGAGAGAGAGAGAGAGCCGGCGCGAAAGAAAGAGTGGAGGAGTGATGGTATGAGCAGGCGATAGTTACCATATGGTTTTGGTAGGCGGTAACAGCCGTGAATGAAATCTCGGGGAATATGAAGGTTCTGTGCACAAATGCAGACAGGTCCGTGGCACTAGCAGGAGCAGCTTCGTCGTTATCGTGAAGCGCGATGTGTAGTCTAGGTTGATACTTGTGCATGGATTGCAATACTACCTAAAATAAGAAAGAGAGATGGAGAGAGAGAGCTCAAGTGGCGAGATTTATAGAGACCGCAGTAAAATATGCAACCTTACACAGTTGGATCCTTCAATTATAACATAGGATGTATGTTTTAAATAAATTATTATATATTGAGAATTTTTAAATATTGTGTGTTTATAGTTTGTACAGTTTATACGAATAACCAGTGGTAGTCATTCGCAAAACTAAAAGAAATTATACAAGCATTATAGAGATAACGTATTCGGGAAGACACCATCACTCCTGCCGTTATTTACATTATTAGTATTATTCAATCCAGAATTTAACTATAGTTGCAGGATACGTTTTGCAGAAGCTTTGTGGTCGCAAAAGCGCAGTGTTTGTCGAACGAAATATTAGCTGGTCGAGATTATACAAGAGGAGTGCACATTCTAACGAGTAGTTTGCTATGCATAAATATCTATGTAGGGCAATAGCGCGGGGTCAGGGAATTCTTCCATCGTCACTCCTTCGTATGTATTATTTATCACGCGTGAGTTATAAGCCACCGAGTATAATAGCTTACATCGGAGTTTTGACGGTAGGCGTACAGTACAGCGTAGTTATTAATTGGGTTTCACGTAATTAAAGACAGGTGATAGCGTGATTAGTGACAGGTGATAGCGTGATTTGTGATAGGTGATAGCGTGATTAGTAATAGGTGAATTGCGAACTTTGTCTGGTGAATGCGGCTAATATCTTAGAAATATAAGTATATAGGTGTAGATGTGAGCAAGATGATGCTCCTACATATGCATGGACAGCCTTGCTCGAAATTCCGCATAACTCTTGCTCGGCATTTGTTCAAGGCCCTGACCGTGTGGTTGTGGTTGTCCAGCGGGTTATTTGTCAGCTTTACTTTCTCGAAGGAAACGATCATCTTGGCCAGTTTGCTGCCGAACATAGGCGAATCGTGTTGCTGGACCAATCTGCGGAGAAAAACGGGAAAAAATGAGTAGTAGTCTGTGCATGCTTGTATAGGGAATTTTGACAGATGTGGACAATGTAGCGAATTTCTAGATTAATCTAATATCTAGTATTTGTCTTCGTATGATGAAGGCATTAATTTGGCTTCTTTTAGACACTCCGCCTCGAACCTTCCCCTTCCTTCTTCTCTTTTCACCCTACCTCTCTAGTTTTCCCTTTCCCGGATGTGGATTCACGACCACGACGTTACGTTCACGACAATGTACGTACCTCTATGCATTTACCATTTAGCATCACTCATTTGTTTTTCAAATCAGCTATACATTCACATAGCGATCTTGCTTTACGCTCTCCCTGCTATTTTCCTCCCCGGATACCCAGTATTATATTGCATTAACATTTATATA